TAGTCATATGGGTTTTTTTTCCTCTCAATTTGATTTAAATATACTTATATATGAATATATATAATATATAATACATTTACAGAAATGCATGCATTTTACTTTTTCCAACATTAAGAAGGTAGAATGGAAGTATCAGTGCAACATTAACAATAGAGATGAGGTTCAAATTCCACAATAAGCTTGGAAATGTGTACATACTGCAAGTCATTAGTTCAAGCCCACCAAACACTTCCTGAGACAATTACCTTTGCTGCTATAAAATTTACTTTGCACAATCTTCTAGAGCGTTACTAATTGCTTTTCTTAACCCCCAGAGATTAAAGGATTTTGAAATGAACATATAGACAAGTAGTGATTCTAATTTCAAATATAAGCTTTATTAAGGCAAATTCTATTTTACAAAATGGGGCTATTAACAGAATGTTTAATGTTGGAAATAACCAATGCTGATTCCGCCCCCCACCCCATGCTCCCCCAGTCTCAAGAAATTTCACTCTGCCTGTCCTTTTCTTTTCTTTTCTCTTTTCTTTTCTTTTCTTTTCTTTTCTTTTCTTTTCTTTTCTTTTCTTTTCTTTTCTTTTCTTTCCTTTCCTTTCCTTTCCTTTCCTTTCCTTTCCTTTCCTTTCCTTTCCTTTCTTTCTTTCTTTCTTTTTTTTTTAAAGTGCAACCTCAACTTATTTCCATCTGGCATTGGTTCTGTGCCTCATCTTCAAGAATAAACATAACCATGTTGGCACTTGTTTCTCAAATCCTTTTCCACTAGGGGGTATGATAGACTGTGACTGCATTTCTTAGTATCCCTTCTGCATGATACTGTAGTACTAAAGCAGACACACATGAGGGAGAAAAACAGGCATGCAAAGCTTGATACATAATTTATGGAGATTTAAATCCTGCCATTCATAAATATAATTATAACCCGAGGCTTGAAAGTTATATGGACCTTGCCATATTGATCATGCTCCAGCTCTGTTTATCCAGGCCGTTCATTTGTTGGCAGACACAATATAGTAAGAATGCTTTCACCCTGTAAAACAATCAATGAAAGGAAATACTTTTATTTTACACAAAGAATATTGTTTCTTTCTATGAAGGTTGTGCTCCCTCCCACCTTCAGATGGGAAATCTACACCCATGGGGAGGGGAGTATTATTAAATCAGCAATCAACCTTCAAGTCATTTTGGTATAAACACTGTAATTATTTCATCTCTGGTAAACAGCATATAAAACAACAGCACATAAGGGTGACAATTTGCAATATGCTTTGAATGTCTTTGTTAAAAAAAAGAAAACACTATTATGGCTGAAGGCAACATTATTGAAATTAAAAAAAAAGAAGTTCTGACAGCCAACAGAGGGGGTACTTAGTCAGTAAATTTCAAGTAATAAATGTAGCAGGTCATTGCAGCAGACATTACATTTTGTGGGGGGAGAAGTCACTGTTTATTAGCCTTGAAGCCAGATTTGCTTACCTTTATTCAAAAAACATAACAGACTCTTATGAAAAAATCTCCCCTTGGGGGTAGAATTGTTAAGCTTACAACCTTACATAAAATGTTGTATTTCGAAATTAAATGTGCCGCTACCTAACATTTTTAATCTCGATGTGATAGCAGGAGAAATGCTCCATTGGATGCATTCAGTTTATTTTAATTTTCTGGCTGGGGAGGGCATTTTACATGTGCGATTGCTTTCCTCTTGCGCGCACAGTGCTCGGAGCGGCCGCGTGATGTAGTCTGCCCCAAAGCGGGGATGCCCCTGCTCACCGGCAGAATCCTCCGTGATTTGTGGGAGCAGTTTGTTTGCAATCCATCAGGTTGTAAACAACAGTCTGCACTTCAGTGAGCTTTGCTATTTAGAGGGATGTAAAGCCAATTGCCATTAATACCAGCGAGGCTGCACAGGGTTTGACAGCATCATGAAAGGCAGTCTTATCTATATAATTTAAAGTTCTTGGGCAGTAAATATAAGGCATATGTTTTATATGGCTTAGAACCTTCTTTCAGTCTGATTGCTTTTTTGTTATGAGTCTTTTTATGTATTTTTTTCATTCAAATAATTACTGTTTTTGTTTGAATGTTCTCGTCCAACACACAATGAACAGTGAGGGATTTCCCAAAGGGCATCCATTGTTATTAAAATGTTTATTTATTGAGTGCTTTTGCCAGAAACCCCTCATGAGAGAAATCTCATTTTATGATCTCCTGAAGCAGTCAGTTCCCAAAACATCTAGCAGAAATGCAATTTTGGCCAAGTAATCTCAAGGTCTTTTGTTCGCTTTTAAATAATCAGCAGAATATGAATGTGTGAAAAGTTGTGACAAGAACTACTTTATTTTCTATATTTTGTAAACGTTCTTAGCAAAGTTGTACTTACGGTGTCACCTGGCAAATCCTTCTTAACTCCAGTTATTACTGAAGAATAAAGCAGAATCCCACATGGTAATATATGAACGAGCATCTTAAAAGTTTGTTGGATGTCTTCTGCAAAAGAATAGGTTATTAACCAGTGCCATCAGAGTCCCATAAAGATGATTTTTTTCCCCACCTGATTTTTTTGTCTCTTTATTTCCCCACATTTTCTCATCACAAGTGCAATAAAATGATAGTGCCAGTTGCAGTGCGTACACGGGCATGACTTGTCTACTGCTCGATTATCCAGGCAGAGTTGGTGGGATAGTCCCAGGCACTCTCAAATATCAGGAGACCTGTGCTTTAAATTCCTGCTCATGCTGCCTGCGTTGGATCGCTGAAATGATGCAGTTTTTAAACAGTGATGCAGTTTTTAATCAATAAGATTTAATGATGCTACTAACTGCCTAGCCACAGTGCTCCATGCAGTGGCCAGCTCTGTAGGAGTGAGCTCTGTCAGAGAGACGGGAAGAGAAGCAGGAGAAAACATGTGCTGTTTTTGCTGGTGAAGCCAAAGTGCAGTTAGCATTAATTTCAAGTCTTGACTGTGATGGAAAATGTGATGTAAATTTGGGGGACTATATGAAGTTTTTTCTTTATGTTGTCCTTGTCATAGGCCCCTTGCCTGCTAGCTTGGTGTCTGTTTTTATTTAAAGAGCACCACTGATTGCACTGTAAGCATTAGAGCAACTGAAGAGGGCTCATCATTTCTCTTAGGCTGGCAATATAAGAGGAGGATAATGTAAAGCTCAATTATATTCGGTGTGTAGTCTCAGGAAACTCCCATGTGCTTTTTATGGTTGGTTATCTCACCTTTACTGACAGAATCTGAATGGTCTGATTTTTCATAAGGCAATTATGTATCTCAAAACATACTATGCAATTGTACTATATCAAAAGGAACTGTCTAAATGATGCTGATAAATGCTCTGTAACTCCTTAATATTTACTAAAATATATTTCTTCCACATTAATGATGACTTCTGGAGTGCCCTTTAGCAATACAATCTTTCTGTTTTCTTTTCCCGCTCCCTTCTACCCCTATAAAAGTATTTAGAGAAAAGAGATTGATTAATAACAGATCCTGTTAACTCCAAAATAAAATGTGCACAGCCTTGCCTGGTATAAGATTAAGCTCCTTAGTCTTACTCTGATTCCCTTTGTGACCTCTAAGCAAAGTATTTATAATATTTTTTCTCTCTCTAGAAGGTAAAAATTTTAAAGGTATTTCTGTATAGGACAAACATTACTCAGTTATGCACACTTCACTAAGTGCTCTCAATTACCAAAAAAAAAAAAAAAAAAAAGTCCTTTTAATCCCTGTATTTTTTTTCAATGTGATTCTTTTATGTAGCAGCTTATAAACCACAGCTATAGCAGGTCAAAGAAGGTTTTCATGTGTGGTTCTAGGTAATGTACTTCAGTGGTGACTGAAGCAGAGTTATTATTTGTGGTACCAATATAACTTATCTTACTGATTACATCATTAATAACAACCTAAGAACTCACATAATAAACAGTACAGGTGTTAGCTGTTATTATGGTGCCAATTTTCATGTTTGTTCAGCCATTGTACTCTGCATTTCTGTTAGTATACATTGTAGTTTCTACTGGGTCCTTCTAACTGGATTTTAAGAAAATACTTCTACTATGTTCGCGATTATTTTTTATATATTTTCCATATACATATACTTTAGTATAATATTAAGGATCTCAGAGCTTAGATTTTTTACTTGATTACTTCTAAGTATTACTATGTAAGTTTGGTGTTATTGGGATCAGTGGCAACTGAATGCAAGATTACTTACATAGTTTTATTTTGCTTTAAAAATACAGTGAAAAAAAAATTGTAAAACCCTGAATGCTTTACTCTGCCATTCTTCATCCTGCTAATTTGTAATTCGTTCATTAAATGTCTTATAGATTTTGATGCCATAGAGAGCCATCAGGCTCAGCCCAAAAAGGTCAGCAGAGAGTCTATTACTTTCCTTCATAAGTTATTCAAATCAATAATCCTCTTTGCTGTTAAAAAATAAATACTTTGTCCCATCTTTCTGGACAAAATGTGTATACGTTTCATTTTTCAGCTGTAGTATCAGCTTTGTCCAAAACGTCCTTTTGCTCACATGTGTTCTTGCAGAATAGGATCAAGATCAATAATTTGAACTTTATTGTCTCTGCTTAAGACAGGATTCATAGACTTACAGTCATGATAAGAAGACTAAGCTTGTATTGATATAAGGCTTATAAAATGCAAAAGCACATGTAATCTTTGGACGCTGAATTCCACTTATGCTGTATCTGCATGACTGACTGAATTTATGGGCTTTCATTTTGCCATCTTCATAGTTGGAATATTTGCAGGAGTATTCTGAAGTTTAGTTAATGTCTCCGAAATTATTCAGACCCAAGATATTACAAAAAAAACCCACAAGAGGTATAAAAATATACGCAAATGTAGCTAATGAAGCAAAAGGAAGAGGACTAAATGGTGTCTTAATAGTTTCTCCTTAAAAACCTATTTTGATAAGGAATATTATGCCATGTCTCTTGATTATGAGTCTTACATTTTTAATAATCTCTTTTAGCATCCTGGGACCAGCTGTGACCTTCAGGGTGCACTCAAACCTCCAGAATATTTCATCTGCAGATGTTGCCAAAGCAGCAGGTAAGAATCATTATGCTCCATTCCCAAACTGTGACCTCCCACTCTCCGGTTTAGAGGACTGAACACTCTCTCAGGAAGATTGACGTTTGAGGAAAGAGACAGTTGAGGGTGAGTGGCACATTTGGGAAATTGAAGTGTAATATCTCTGAGTCAATTAAAACTGCTGGGGATTTTATTGTTTGTAGAGAAAATGGATTAAATAGAGATGTGTAGACATGGCCTAGCATGGTGAAAAACTTTAATTTTGTCAGAAACTTAGAAAACTACACTAGATATTTCTAAATGAGAATCAAATGTCTTTTCAAATATACATTTTTTCAGACAGCAAAATGTTACTACATTTTAGCTTTAAATTTGGATGGTATAAATACAACATTGTTGATCTGTTGACTGTGTATCAGTTTCCATGTCCTATTATTAATCTTAAAAGAAAACATTTTATTTCTAAAGCTAACCTGTTTCTGAGTAAATGCTGCGTTGGCTTATCAGCTTCACTGCTAATCATGTTATGGAGGAGTTATTGACTACAAGAAATCATTTCTGTGAAGTAATTGAATTGATAATTGATTTGCTTCCAAATTAACCAATTGATAGTTTTTAATAATTGCAAATGAACAGATTTCGTTATTGCTTGAAAAATAGGAAGTTTATTTGGAGAGACACTGAGAGCCAAAATTTGTCCATTAACTTCTGCTCAGTTTCATCATGAATTAATTTAGCTGAATTTCATTAAGAGACAAGAGGCAGACAGTAAGCCTAAACTGCAGGAGTTTCCATGCTAGAACCTTTCTTCGTATGGGGCTCACTGGAGGATCTGTCTCTCAAAAAAGAGGTTATGAAAAACAATGGAAAGAACATTTACAAGTCACCAGCAGCATCTTGTAGTCACTCGGAGTTTTAAGGAGCATAAGAACAAAAAGAAGGGTAAGGACTACCAGTGGTGCGAAACCTTTCACTTTATGCTTTCTTGTTAAGGGGTGATTAGAGAAAGAACCAAATGGGATACCATTTTTAAAAAATAGATTTTGTATGTCAATAAGACTTAGGGTTGTACTGTGGAAATTAATAGAAGATTAGTTATGTAACTATCAGATATCTAAATGTGTATGATATATTTGGAAAATGAATATGGCTTTTTTATAGCAATATTCTTCCTTGAAAGCCTATTGGATATCTCTGAAGGATTCAACAAACATGATGCAGCTGGTAGAATCCACTTTGATTTCCAAAGACATTTGATAAGTTCTTTCATTAAGAGTTTCAGGTTAAAAGACAAGAAACAGAGAGTAGGAATAAATTATCTGTTTTCTCAAAAGGCCGAGATAGCAGCGGAGTTTTGCAAGGATCTCTGTGTGGACTCATATTCAACATACGTGTAAATGAGAGGCTGAGTGGTGTGATGAGAAAGCCTGCTAATAATGCAGGTATTACGCCCAGTATTAAAGGTGAAAGTTGATTGAAGAAGTCTTTAGCAGATTGAGAGAGAAAATGGCAGATGAAATTCATTGTAGTTTTAAGCAAAAAATATGTATGGGAAAAAATATCCAATGGCTTTACATATAAGCTGTGGGGTCTGATTAGACCATGACTTACCAGGAGTGAAATTTTAGTGAGGTAATAGATAAATTCATGAGAATACTAGTTCTGTCTTTAGTATCTGTCAAATAAGGAAAGAATTGTTAAAAAAATAGGAAATGATTAGGTAACAAAACAGAGAATCATATGCTATTGAATAAATCTATGGCATATGGATATTTAAATACTAAGTATACTTCTACCTCTCTCACCTCAGAGTGACTGGAAACTCTGCTGAGCTGGAAAGGTTCAGAGAAAGACAGGAGATATGACTGCAAGTGTGGAATATCTTCCGTATAATAAATGGTGAAGATAGCCACAGGTCTTTATTCTGGAAAAGAGATAATTATGACATGAAAAAGGTCTCTCAAATCCAGAGCAGAATAGAGAATATAAAGAGGATTGTTCAGTGTCTGCTGCATTAAAGGAGTAAAGTAAGCTAGTAGAAGGCAGGTTCGAAATAAATAAAACTGATTCATTTGCAACTTGTATTTATATGAGTTGTGGATAATAAAGCTTACAAGTTTTCCAAAATCTAGATGTAAACAAATTCATTCAAGAAAAATCCATGGAAATGTATCAAATTCATCAAACACTGTCAAGTTCAGGAAGTTCCTTATATATCTGTCTCAAAAGCTAACCCTGCGTCCCTATCAACATTTGTCAGTCACCCCATCACAGAAGGCTCTCAGATTGGTTAAACATGATTTCTGCTTTGTGAATCCATACTGATTACTCCTGATCACCTTCTTGTCCTTCATGGTATCCAGAGTGAGCTGCTTCATCCAATAAGTTTGCAGCACCTTTTCAACATACAACATTCATTTATACATTTCTATGCACAAGAGATGGTCTGCTCTAGAATAATTACATTTGGCACATGACATCGTTTAGACAACATACATTCATATAATTTTAGGCAGAGTTTTTCTTACTTGCTGTTCTTTAATGTGAACAATAGACTCACTAAAGCGATAAACAGTAGCATATTCTGACATAAGAAGGTTTTTTTTTCAGTTTTTAGTTGGGATTAGAAATTTTTTAAGTAAGTTATCAGTACACTGAAGAAAAACATTCAAGATAAATTCTTTACGAAGCACAACCAAAGTAGAATTAGTCAGTACATTCCAGGATAGGCACAGCTAAATGCTTCCATGATCCATTGCTGGGTAACCTGACATCTGTCCACGACTTCTGAAAGCAGCCCTAACTTACCAAAAATGACAGGAGAGTCTTGCTCCCCATCTATCCTTAAAAACTAAAAAAGAACAACAATAACAAAACTAGATATTTAGCTAATCAGATATGATAGTAATTATGGGAATGTGAATTACACAGCTTTGCAAAGAGGAATCTATTTCTGCAGCTGTTCTGTATATGCAGGTCTTGCTGATATCTATAGAAACATGTTGTATGTGGCAACTTATCTTATTATTTTTATACCATACATTTCTTGTAAACAAAATGGATAAACTGCATGCTGTCCAAATTTTGTAGGGGACTAGATTTAAAGTTTTTCATCTTCCCCTATGGACGTTAACAGATGTGCAGGTTAGGGAAGACATGATGCTCATCAGCAATTACGCAAACAGATGGTTAACTTAGAATATCTACTGCAAAAAAAAAAAAGAGAGAGAGAAGAATAAATTGATGATAAAAATGGATCTCTCTATTTTCTTGGAGTTTGTTAGCAATTCTTATTGGTTTGCATAAGATATACACATCTTGAGGAGAGCAAAAGCTCTGTAAGCCCCTTTAGCCAAATTGTTGCTAATATTTCTTTTTCTAAGAATACGTAGTTCCAATTCTTTGTAAATGTTTTGATTTGTTTTTGCACTTCACAAACATATGGGAATCCTAACATCAGAGTTATGCAAAATTTAGTGTAGCTTGCTTTCTCACATTACCAATCCCTTTATTTACTCTTTGACTACAAAGCAGGAGGACAGTCAATGTTATGACAGTGCTGCATACTTTGACATTCATAATATACAACATACCTTGCACAGTGTAGCTGTCCTCTGACCTATTTCTCTTTGATAAGACAGGCTCAGTGCTACACTGCAATTCCACCACAACATTTTCTCAAAATAAACTTTCTATGGACAAGAGATGGCCTGCTCTAGAATAATTACATTTGGCACATGACATTGTTTAGACAAATGAGTATGTATTTCATTTCTCTTAAGTTAGGAGCAATCTCACAGAGAACTACTAAAAAGATATAAAGTTGTAATACAGTCAGTGAACTGTACTACTATGATTTTGATTTCATCCATCTTTATAAACCCTCTAGAATAGCACTGTTTATGTAAAGACATTTAAAGTGAGTTTTAGAAATTTGAAATTTCCATATGTAAAGCATGTGACATGTCTGTAACCTGTTTGCATTTATAGTGCTTATATAAAATAAAAATGCAGGATAAAAAAGACATTCTTGTCCATAAACGCATTTGCTGAAGCATTTCACTAATTGGAACCATGGTTGTATTGTTTGGTATTGTATTAAAATACAGCAGTTTAGTGGTATAAAAAAGGAGAGCAAAGGGATCCTTGAGGGAGGACGGGCAATATAGGAAAAGGCAATGCATAGCCAGATATTGGGGAGTTAAAAGAGCTTTTTTTGCAGATTCTTTTGTCTAAGATAGATTATAGTTCATTTTAAAATATGAATTCTGAATATCATTTTTTAAGTTCCTCTAACTTTAAGAAAGCTATTGATCTATTTTGTTTTAAAATTACTTATGCCTTGCCAGTGAAACCCATATGTTCACAAAGTGCATGGTTTGCTAGGGACCATTAATCATTACTCAGAGACCAGAGTGCTGAATCACATAACCTTCTTGCCTAAAAGTTACTTTTCTAATTTTAGTTATAGTCTAATTAGCTTTCTAATTATTTGAAAATGCATTGCACAATTAATTACCTTGAAAAGAGTAAATAGAAAAATGCTATATTAAAATTAAAATGTAACTGTATAAGTTAATTTGAATAAAAATGCATGAAAACTATTGGAATATATAATCAAATGCCTATTTTTTCAGTTTTAAACAACTGAAAGCAGATCATTAATTTACAACTTACAAATTTGTATCTTCTATATCTACAAATTTTGGTCATTTTCCCATATATGGTGCAATATCTATGGTAACATATTGCAACAGAAGTTTTCGACGTTGCAACTATATATTTGTGCTAAAACTGGCAACTAGAAACAGAAAAAAAAAGACAACTTTCAGCATTAAACACTTCTTTCAAAATGGAAAAGGGTATTACTTCACAACTCTTAAGAGTTAAGCAACCCTGTCTAGTGATTTAAGCTGATGATATCTCAGTGTTTTAGAGTGGTCTGTGATGTTGTGCAGCTTGTGCATGTTGCACTGGGATGGATTGTTTCACTTCCTCATTTTGTCAAGTTCACATCA